TGAGCTTTGTAGTTAAGTTTGGTGAGCTTTTTAGTTATGTTTGGTGAGCTTTCTAGTTATGTTTGGTGAGCTTTCTTAAATTATTTGGTGAGCTTTGTAGTAGTGTTTGGTGAGCTTTCTAGTTATGTTTGGTGAGCTTTCTTAATATAGTTGGTGAGCTTTTCTCAATATATGTGGTGAGCTTTCTAGTAATGTTTGGTGAGCTTTCTAGTAATGTTTGGTGAGCTTTCTCAATATATGTGGTGAGCTTTATTAGGTGAGCTTTGTAGTTAAGTTTGGCGAGCTTTCTAGTTATGTTTGGTGAGCTTTGTAGTAATGTTTGGTGAGCTTTCTTAATATATGTGGTGAGCTTTCTCTATATTTTTGGTGAGCTTTCTCTAAATATGTGGTGAGCTTTGTAGTTAAGTTTGGTGAGCTTTGTAGTAATGCTTGGTGAGCTATATGTTGTGGCAAAAAATATAATTTTTAAGGAAAAATTTTAATAATAAAAGAAATAGACATGTATGTTTATGTCGGGTTGGCTCCCTTCGGAAACACCAATTTTATACCTCCTCAATGATCAACCACATTATCAAGCAATATTTAACCTACTTAAGACATGAGTTATCATCCTTTTAGTCGGTTTTTTCACCTTTGAGCTTATATACAGCGGGGAGATCCCCGTTTCGACGCACGAAAACGTGAAACCGCGTCTGCGGGACAACTTTAACGTTAAAATCCCCTCCTCGTCCTCGTCTAAGCCCTCACTCTCTTGGAAATTACTTGGCAAGTTTAAGACGAAGACGAAGATCGTTGCACATTTTAGCAATTGCATATAAAGACAATGTAATAGTTGCAAAACCAAAGACAGAATTAATTGTAACCATTGATCAACTAAAACCAGAGACTCAAAATGACTGCTTGACACCTACAGAAGCAAATAACCCAAAAATGTTAACCTGGTCCTATATCCACACAAATCATATCCTGTTTTCTCAACACCATAATAACCCAAAATCAGATTCCTAAAACTGAATCAAATCAGACATTAGGCCAAAAATCAAACTGTCACTGTATGTGTCCAAGTGTGACACATATCCTAGTTGATAAACTTGCCATATTCTGCCACTTTCCGTTTCACTTGTACGGCAAGTTGATTATGATCAGAGGTGAGCATTTCGTAGCAATATCGGACACAGAGTATTCTTAATCCATTTACCTACCAAGAAATTTAAAATTCAATAAAAATAAGATAAAATGTGTGATAATTTTATCTGATTTCACCTTATAAACAAAAAAGACATAAGACTTACATCATTTTTGTTCAAATCCATCTTCCACGTATTCAAATTCCCCTTGAAAGTTTCCAATTGCCTCATGGCTATGACACCAACACCCATACCTTCCATGTTCCCATAACATGCCTTCTTTGTTATTTCAAAAGGAAATTTGGAAATTTTACTTGCTTTTTGCTCAAGTTGTTTTTCATTGAAAAACTCGCACATTCCCTTTTTCTGCAAGTCAGTGAGACTATATTAGATTAAGTTGAAGATCAAACAATGAAGTTCAAGCTTAAGTCAGTATTACCACGCTTTAAAAAGGATCTTACCAAACATTCAACACATGTATCATACACCTGAGTTTTATCTTCAATTGAATCAATGATGGTTATCTTCTCCTTTTTCATGTTAAAACAGACTATATAAACATCATCCTTGTCTGTTTCATCAACAACCAAGAAGAATACATGCAGTAAAATAAGAATAGAAATTATATCAGAATAAATGAATACATTAGATACAAAACACTAAAAACAAACAATTCCATGTAGCTGACCAAATCTGCAGTACACATATCAATGCCGCCATACAACTGTTGTTCTACCAATTCTCTGTCTGCGACTTCACAAAAGGTTTCATGAGCATCGTTATATAAACTGATCTTTACAAACTCAGCCTACATGAATAATGTAAAGTTTATGTCAGTGTCACATTTGAATATCTCCACTATTATACACTAAAGTACATGAATAATGTAAAGAGGTTACATACAAAAGGATACGTGCTAAGGAAAACTCGATAGACATCTGACTTACTTCGATGCTTTTCCTCGGCATTCAAGAATCGACACCAAATCTGTAAAATAAGTGACGAGACACAATTCGGAAAAGGATATTAAATCGCTTCGCTTCATTTCACAAAACATGTCTTTGTACAAAACTTCCCTGGAATTAAAATTATGGAAAATAGGATAAATAAATATTAAAAAAATCTTAATAATAATTAAATTAAGTAACTTTTTTACAAAACAACGTGAAAAGTTAACACTTACCCAAGTAAAAGAGATTTGTTTAATACGTAGTCCGTGAGAACCTTCTCGGCACGGCTCAACCGTGAGAGTGCTTCCATGTTTCTTATCCAAAAAGGAGAACATAAGGCGCGTGCAAATTCTTTCTTCCTTTCGGGCTGATGTTGTCTTTTAAGGAATACAGGACTTCGAGCAGGGCTAGGACCGGATGCAATTTCTTGACTTGTAAAGTGAATATATGGTGGGGTTGGCTGAAAAAGAACAGTTTCTTCTTGTTGCCCTTGAACTGCACTCTCTGGAAAAGCTGGGATAGGCTCAATTTGGGGGTGACTCTGTACATCATCTGCCAATGCAGTGAGATTGCATGTTTGGGCTATGCCATCTCCATTCTTTGTTTGAATCTCCTCATGTTGAACCTCTTCATGTTGAATCTCCTCATTTTGATTTTCCTTTTCCTCTGGTGTAAGCCCTAAGCTAAATGATGGCATGGACAAGTCTTGGCTGTTGGTCTCAAGGTTGCGCTTCACCGTGAAAAATTCCATTTCAAGTTGAGATATTTCAGCCAAGAAAGAAGGGCTCTCGTGGACTACTTCGAATTGCAGTTTCGGATTTGTTTCCAAAATCGGAGTACCTGATATTCTTGGACTTTTACCAACAGCAACAATCACTTCAGCAGCAGTTTGTTGCATTCTCTTGATGGCATTTGAATTTGGGAACTCACTATTCAAGCCTCTACAGACGGTGTCCCACTTTGATATTTTTTGCACCAACTCTTTTGCAGCAGTCTGTGCCTCCTCTAAAACGTCGTTCTAAAACAGGTTTTTAAAAAAGAAAAAAGTGTGTCAAGTTACTTTGATATTCAGTGCTTCAACTTCAAATTATCCACTCAAAGTCAAACCAAATAAATATGAAAAAGAAGCAAGAACATGATCACTTCATTCATCCAAGCAAGGAGTTAATTTAGGAGACTAAGGCGCTGATTGAACAGTCATAGAGTGTGTTTGTGTAAAAATGGATTGGATGGCAGGTAGTGAACTGAAATGGGAAATGAAATTATAGAACAAAAAGCAAAGCACTAGTGTAGGCAGGGCAGGGATTTTTGAACATAAAGAAAACTGATGTGTGTGTGAGTGTGTTACAATTACCTGTGATTGTGATGTTTTCCCAGGAGGATCTTCAAGAGACGGGTTTTCATTTGAAAACAACTCTTTATTGATTTGTGGGTCCACGCTACCACGGCCAAAACCACCTATTTACAGTATTATTCAGTAATGTGTAACTTAAAAAAGCATGAACCTCCTAAAAATAAGTTGCACTAACCTGATTTCCGCTCCAATCCTTCTCTTTCCTTAAGCTTCTGCGAAGTCCAACATAGCATAGTTGGAAAAGTTCTAGGCACTACTCTCATTCGGAAGACAACCCTATCAACATAAAACATCTAAAAAGACAAAAAATCACTATAACACAGACGACTCTGAAAAATATATACCGCGAAGTAGTGTGTTGGAACTTATAAAGTTTTATGTTAAGGAAAATGAATACATACCATTAAGAACAAAACATGCCCAGTAAAATAAGGATTTGACTTTCGCTTCCATTGAATGGTAGAATTAATTAAACTGGTCAAGGTATACTTGCACCAGTTTAATTTATTCACGTTACTCAAATTGACTAAGGAGCACAACACTCTTGAATTTGCAAATGTATTTGTGTTTCCGGATATGCAGGTAGAGATGAAGAACACCATAAAATTGAGCTTAAATCCTTCACTTGACCCCGCCATTCCTAAAATTCTATCGGGCATAGCATTAGTACGTGGAAGAAAATCCCTCTGTAAACCCCACTCATCTCTCCACTTAAGGACCAAAGTCTTATAATCCTCAGGGTCTGTTGGCTTGTTTTGAGCTTCTAGCACATCAAATGGCCCGGTCGGGAGGCCAAGGGTTAGATGGACATCCTTTTCTGTGATTCTAACCCGCTCATTTAAAAGATTAAGTGAACAGCTATCTGGGTCAAAGTTTTGAACAAGCCATTTTGAAAGCTTACCGGTAGAACTGACGCTTCAAGACCAAAAAGGGAATGAAAACCCAACTCTTCAACAGCTTTTTTTGCTCACTATTTAACCTCTGCAAGAGGTTAAAAAGGCCGTTTGGAGACATACGAGTTTTATAATCTTAGTCATCAACTATACTTTCTAAAATAGTCGCAACATCTCGTTTTGGCCTATTAATGATTGCATTGGGGACAAGGGCAGTGGGTGACTGTTCTAAACATAAAAGACGTGGACTTTTCCTAAGAACTATGGAAGTTGATGGAGCTGCAGGTGTGCAAGGTTCAGCAGTGTGCTCTTCCACAGCAAACTCAGCTTGTTTCCTTAAAAAAACAAGAACACAAAAAACATAAGTTTAAAATTTGAGGTTAATAAATTTAAAGTGATGTGTGTTTGAGAAAGATAAGAACCAACCTTTTTTTCCATGATTTTTTTTCCCACCTTCAACTTCCATGCTTTCAGATGCTATTAAATTACCTAAAGAATAAGGTCATTACATGAAAAGTCCAGAATACAAACTCACTCAAATTTCCTCTAAGCCTAACAGCACAAAAGCCCAATATTAAAGTACTTGAGCAGTGAACATCCTAACATATATAAAAATTCAACCAAACCAGAGCTCAAATGAACCAAAACATGGCTCAAATTAAAGAGAAATGTATTAGAAACAAAACTAAACAAAACCAGCCAGTCAAAAAAATAAAAAGAGATATTAAGAAGCATGAAAATCATGGATAGATAAATCTGAATTCAGAATAAATGTAACAGAATCACACAAAAAATGCACAGAACAATAGCATGAAAAATTTAGAGAAGGGGGGGGGGGGGCAATACAACACAGCTTTGGTGACAAAATTCCCATCTCAGCAATGGCTTTTTGGATCCAACCGTGCAACTATAAAGATAATATTCAAAGATGATACAGAAGTAGCTTCAGCAGGGGGAGAAAAAATAACTTTAGTAGTGGCGCCACTTAACCTGGAGAGAAAATCTGAAACCAAAGAGAATATGCTACGAAGGAGCTGGCGATGGCGATTGGGAGTGATTAGGGTTTATTTGGGTCGAAGGAGAAAGATGAAGCTAGGAAAGAAGAGAAATTGATGGCGATTGGGAGCAAAGGAAATGTACGAAGAAGAAAGAAGACTGGGCGAAGCGACGAAGAAGAAAGAAGACTGGGCGAAGCGACGAAGAAGAAAGAAGTCTGGGAACCGTCATCTTACCGAAACTCGTCATCTAACCGGAGTCAATCCCATATATATATATATATATATATATATATATAGACACACACACACACACACACACACATACATACATACATACATATATATGTATGTATGTATGTATGTATATATGTATGTATGTGTGTGACATCTCACGGTGAGATGACATGCTTCGGTGAGATGACGCCAATCTGACCACACTACACTACAAAGCTCACCAATGGACAATGCAAAGCTCACCTAGAAATGAAGCAAAGCTCACCATTTTGAACACCAAAACTCACCTTTTTTTAAATATAAAAAAAATAACAACACCAGTCAACAACCGGTCAGAGGCGGCAGAGGCCGGCAACTGGCGGCGGAGCTTGGTGACCGGGGGCGGCAGCCAGTGACCGGCGATCAATAGTCCCGGTCAACGGTCAAAATCTAGTCATCACCCCTTCCTTTGATTTTATGTTTTCAAAAAAATCAAAGTGTTGAAAAAATATGGTGAGCTTTGCTTTATACTTTGGTGAGCTCTGCAGTTGTCTCTAGTGAGCTCTGCAGTTGTCTCTAGTGAGCTTTGCAGTGGCTCGTGCTTAGCTTTATGTCATCTGACTATAGCATGTCATCTCACTGTAGTCAATCCCTATATATATATATATATATACATATACATACATATACATATACATACATACACATATATATATATATACGTATGTATATATGTATGTATGTCTGTGTGTGTACACATACTCCCTCAGTCCAAAAAAACTTCCTGGTGTGACCGGGCACGCATATTAATGTGTGATAGAATTTGCTTTGTCTTTCGTATTCTACACCTGCAACTTTACATCTTTCCATCCACCTGTACGCTATCTCTGATTGCCAACACCACTGCCGGTGATTCTCCGCCACCACCGCCGGTGATTCTCCGCCACCGTGGCGGCCGACTCTCTGACACCATCAGATGACCTCTCTGGTTCTTCTTGTCGCCATCCCTTCCGTAACGCCCCCTCCCTCGTACATATAATCTGTTTAGTATTTGTCGTTGAAGACAAGAAGAAAAAATAAATTTCTTGCATCCGAGGTTTTGACGGCTAGAGGCAAGGGTAGGAGTAACAGAGGCTTTGTAGATATATGAAATTGATGGCGGCTATGTCGGAAGGGGAGAAGATCTGACCGCCGCGCACGTCCGATTAGCCGACCACCGCCTCTCGCTGCTTCAAATCATTGGGTGACGGGATAACCAAAATGGGGAGGAAAAGAAATTATAGAAGAAGAAGAAGAAAGGAAAAGAACGAAGAAGAGAAGAAAAGTAAGAAAGAAGAAGAAGAGAGAAGAAAGAAAAAATGATTTGTGGATGAATTCAGAAGGGAGAGGGAAAAAAAGAGAAGAAAAGAAGATAGAATGGAATGGGTGGCCGGGTGGGGATGTGGCGAGAGGAAGAAAGAAAAGAGATTAAAAAAGAAAGTAGATGGGTGGGGGTAATTAAGTCTTTTTGGTAGAAAAAAATTTCCAAAAAAAGGAAATGGGAAGTTTATTTATGGACGGACGAAAAAGGAAAGTGGGAAGTTTATTTGTGGACGGAGGAAGTATGTGTATACACACACACACGTACACACACACACACACATATATATACATACATATGCATAACATATACACACACACACACACACATATATAAAATATATTAATGCTATATTTTGTTCCTTAAATAATATTTGACAAACTTAATTATTATATAATTAAAATGTCCAAATATTAAATATATGTTATTGCGCCAAAATGATAACAAAATAATAAATAATTTATTATTATATATATCCATATATATACATTATTTTTATTAATTATATTTTACATACTTAAATATCATAGAACTAAAATGCCCAAATTAAAATATTTATATGTTTGTGTATCTAATCATATTGTCACACAATATAATATACACAATAAATAAGACACAACTTTACTCCACTTTAGTATTCTACGCTTTTCATATGTTTTATGTGTGTGACCCTATTCTAGGTACCTATAAAGTTGGTCATAGTATTTATTAGATGTTATAAGTGATAAGCGGTATCTTGCAACACATTATCACCCTCAATTTATAGATATAAAGCTCTAGAAACAATTATTTCAAAACACATCTCATTTGTAAAACTCTTATCCCTTTATCACTAATATCTTGATTTAACACAAGGTATGGGTGTGTCACCTTGTTAGAGTTAAATCGATGGTTTACTGATTCTTCGAATGAGTTGTGGGATTCAAATAACATATTTATTTGGGCATGGCCATGTACTTCCCAAGTCACATCAATCAGTGGGCCCTAAGATAATATACTTCATTAAAGAAGGGATAAATTCTATCTACGTCATTCACATCTTCACTTATGTTTCATTGCATAACCAAAACATATTTGTACATCCACAAAAATTTCAGATGACATTAACTATGCATCAAAGTATGCAACTCAACTTACCAAAGATCATAATGACTTCAAGTCAAAGGATAGTTATAGTAATGGTCGCATGAGAATAATATCAACACATTAACATAATACCCATATATTTTTCGCATAGCAGGTCAATCCTGCAACATATCCAATATGTTTGCCTACATATAGATTCAAATAACACTTTATGTGTAGCCTATGAGACGCTGCTATCTTATCTCATATGTATCAGTCTTGATATATTATGATGTCTGTATTATCATAATATTCGACTAAGGATATTTTAGATGTAGCCTCTATCTTTGTAACACCCTCATAATCAGAACGTCGTAGTTCTCATCTATGTTACTAGAGTGCCTACTCTATGGACTAAATATATGTTTAAATCACACAATACAACTTAAACAATCTTTAGGGCCTATTATTCTTGATATCATAGATATGGAATCATAAGTTGGCCTCTAGGGATCACTTATATTCACAATATCCCACTAGCACTAAGGCCAATTATACATTACATAAATGCCCATGCACGAAGCATGACCCTCGTGTCTAGGTTTTCCCAAAGCCTATGTTAATGGATTTATAGATTGTCATCTTTTTCTATTTTGCAAATCTTTACATTATATAATCTATCTATGTGATTACTCCTGATGTCGTGTTTAGTCTTAATGAGACCGTTGTTCATTGGCGTGTGACGATCTTTCGTTTTCATTAGAACGGATGGTATATTCATACTAAAAACCATATTAAGCTCATAGCTCTCGACCCAAACACCTTGCTCAGTTGCTTCAAAAGAATCTATGTACTATACTTCTATAGTTGAACTTTGGTAGTGTCATCAAGCTTTTCTAGCTTACATTACTACTATTCAAAATATGTAACCTTTCTACAACGTGTACACTTTGCGTATGTGGAAATCACACAATATGATTTCTTCATTTCATATAGCACCATCGTTGGGTGGTATCTCGTAATACCTTAAGGACGCTCCTTTTGCTATGCAGTGACAGTCATTGACTTTACATGTTATCTAGTCATAACATTTAGAGTAGAACATTTTTGGTCTTTATCATGGTATTAATAATAGGTCCAAAGGTAGTTGCATAATGAACGATTCTTATGCATTCCCTACATTGAGGTATATCAAGTCTTTGAAAGACTTAGACCTTTGGTTTACAGGTAAGTATTTAGATCAAGAATATTGAATCTACAAATAACTTTCCCTTACATATAGACATGGTAACTCCATTTAATCTATCCAATAGATTCAATATGGATGTTTTAACTAGGAACATCGAACTTATGATGTGCATGTAATACATTTGTTATGGAGAAACATAATGCTCCCACTAACTTTTTATTGTCGCAAGTTTTCATCTCTTAAACACAAACTCATAACTAATTATGGTTTTCTTAGGGATATGAAATAATTCCAAGAAAATTTTCTTAAGATCTTACCGGGTAACATTTTGATCTTATAGCTCGTTGCATTTCTTAGACTTAGGGTCATTGATGCTCATAAGATTGGTTAATGACTCATTTCATGCTACGAACCAAAATTCGAATCGTATTCAGATAGACCAATTCTATACTTGTGTTATTTGAGAAATCTCGAGGCACAACATATTGTATCTCTGCCTCATGTCCCATTCTTAGAAAGGCAATGTCCTTTTAATCTTGAACTCCTTTAAGATCTATCTTCCTCCCATTGACTTTTAAGAAGAGGAATTTCTTCTTTAAGAAAACTCTATTATGAGTAACAACACTTTGTTCTCTAATATGTGAGAGAACAGAATTGGCATTTTAGCTTGTGAGACTTCTAAAAGCCTCATTGTGCAATTCTTTAAGTAGGACATATAAGGCATAGCCCTTTTATTAATGTCCTTTGAATGGAACTAGTTAATAACATAAGTTGAAAAATGAATATTCCTAGAAAGATTTAGTAGAGTATCATGACTTATCATAGTGGAGCGAATAAGGATTATATCCTAAGCTCTTTATGGTTTTTCATTAAACTTGGTCCAACCATTTATACTTGCACATGGTTGAGTTATACTTGCACAAGGCCAAAAATCCAACACTTGGTCCAACGTGTGCTTCAACCATTTGGCTAAGAGTCTATAATTATGCAAAACTTGCTTAATGGTATGGATATGAGACCCATGTCTCGTTATCTAGTACCTATTTCATAAATGTAGACTAATTTACCTCTATAACTAAATACTCAACTTGGAAGTCACACCTCCTTTAATCTTTCTTATAAATATTCACGTGGTCCTTCTTCTATTAGCGGGTTTTCCATAATAGAAGTTCGAGGTATGAGCTTGGAAGATTGAGAAGTGCTTTTGGATATGAGCCTACTAGCGCTTACATCTTTTCCACCAACCCATTTGTTGGTCCCTACTTCTTCTTGCCATTTTCCTTAATTTTACTGAACTGTTCTTGTCATTTACCAAGATGAAGAAGGCATGTTCTATTAAGCTCTGGTGGAAATATCATAATGAGGACAGAAAATGGGCTAATTTTATGAGAAACAAATATGGAGCTACATTAAGAACTAAAAGGCTTACGGACTCTACAGTTAAGAAAAGAATTTGCAGAATACATCATCAAGCCCTCGAGCACTGTGAGTCTGCTCCCTTGGAGAATAATATATTTTCCCTTAAAATGGCTTTCAACTACTGCAGAGGGAAAGAGATGGCCCAAATGAGTAACAATTTTAACTGGAACAAGCTACAAATTCTTAAGGTCAGGCTCTCTCTCTGGAAAACAAATTACAAATCACTCCCTTGGCCTGAAAACTTGACTAGGTTCTCTAATAGCTACCCTTCCATATGCCCTTTTTGCCTAAATCATGAGGGATATTTGAACCATTTCCTCCTACAATGTCCTAAAATCAGAAATATTTGGAGCAACTTTGCATACCTTTTAGATCGGCCAATTCTCAAAGATAACATCTCCTTCAAGCAACACCTCCTCGAATGGAACCTGCGAGGCAACAATAACACGCTTAGAGGGAACCTTAAAAGGATAGCACCAAGCATCATCGGCTGGAACATCTGGAAGCATTATGCAGCAGTTCACTTTGGGAATAACAAGTGCACGGTCAAACACATCACCAAGGACATTCATAGTAACCTTCAATCCTGGTGCTGGAAATACAGACACAAGAAATGGATGATCTAGGATCTGGAACTAATCCATGAAAGGATTCAAATCAGTGCGCTCAGTGGAAGAGGAATTAGGGATTGGGCTTTTCGTTCTGTAGATTGATTTTCGTCCTCTCTCTTGGGTTACAGATTTGTTTTTTATGTTAGCCTTTTACTTTTGTTGTAACTTTTCCTTTTAATGTATTTTGTCCTACCTTCGGGGCCTCGGTCTAGTCCTCCTCGAACGTGTTACCAAATTCTTATCTAATAAATTTGGTAAGGGCGGCCTGGACCTTACCCCACCGATTTTGGTGGATCTTTTTCAGATTAAAAAAATATCTATATGTATGTGTGTATATATATATGTGTGTGTGTCTATATATATATATATATATATATATATATATATTATATATATATATATATTATATATGTATATTATATATATATATATATATTATATATATATATTTGTGTGTGTGTGTGTGTGTGTGTGTGTGTGTGAGCCCTAGAGGCCAACTTATAATTCCATATCTATGATATCAAGAATAATAGTCCCTAATGATTATTTAAGTCGTCTCCTGTGATTTAAACATAGCTTTAGTTCATAGAGTAGGCTCTCTAGTAACGTAGATGAGAATTACGATGCTCTGATTATGAGGCTGCTACAAAGATAGAGGTTACGTCTAAAATATCCTTAGTTGAATATTATGATAATATGAACATCATAATATATAAAGATTAATACGTATGAGATGTGATAGTTGCATCTCATAGGCTATAGATAAAGTGTTATCTAAATCTATACGTAGGCAAACATATTGGATATGTTGCTGGATTGACCCGTTATGAGAATAATATATGGGTTTAAGTTAAAGTAATAGTATTATCCTCATGCGACCATTAGTATAATTATCATTACGATCTTTGGTAAGTTGAGTTGCATACTTTGAAGCATGATTTATGCCATCTGAAATATTGGTGGATGTACAATTATGTTTTGGGTATGCAATGAAACTTAAGTAAAGATGTGAATGACGTAGATAGAATTTATCCCTTGTTTAATGAAGTGTAATATCTTAGGGCCCACTGATTGATGTGACTTGGGAAGTGCATGGCCATGCCCAAATAAATATGTTATTTGAATCCCACAAGTCAATCAAAGAATTAGTATACCATCGATTTAAATCTAACAAGGTGACACACCCTATACCTTGTGTTACATCAAGATATTAGTGATAAAGGGATAAGGGTTATACAAATAGGATTTGTCGTTGAAGGAATTGTTCGAAGAGCTTTATATCTCTAATTTGGGGGTGTTAATGTGTTGCTAGATACCGCTTATCACTTGTAGTATTTAATAAATACTATGGCCAATTTTATAGATATCTAGAATAGAATCACACACATAGAACATATAAAAAGTGTAATGCCCCAAAACCCGACTTAGGATTTTAATTAATTTATAAAATTTAAATTATTATTAAGCCGATTAATACAAAGATTATTTTCTAATTTGCCTTAATGAACGAGGGTTTATCCTACATTGTAGAGCTCGCTGTTTTGAACCCGACCGCACGGACGGATTGAGAATCGGACTTACTGGGCCCAAGGTAACGACTTCCAAATAAGGTAATTGGGCCTAAATTTATTCTAAATGGTTAGAAAGTGTAAACTAGACCTTAAAATTTAATTAAATTTATATTAAATATGACGGGGGAGTTACGAGACTTAGCACGTTTCGGTGTTTCACCTTTTTCGCCTTTCTTGTTCGCCGTTCGTCTGCTAGGGAGAGCCAGGAGCCGTAGCAGTCACCGGGAACTCCACCGCCGTCGCCATCATCGCCCAACATCCTTGTTCCCGTCGCGCAGCAGTCCGGTGGTCCCCCAGGGAGTTGCAGTGGCAAATCCTTCTCCTCTCTCTTTGGTTCAATTCCGTCGAAATTCAAGGTGATTTGTGGTTTAAATACCTTCCCTTAGCGTTAATTCGTAGATTAGAACTTCCCTATCATATAATTTTGTGATTGGATTGAGATTTCTTGGTGTGGTTTTGTATTTTTGAAATTTGGGGGGTCGGGGGCTGTTTATGTCGTCTCTTCTGGCGACCCACCGGCGACGACGGCGACGAGTTGGCCGGGCTAGGTAGCGGCTTGGTGTTGACCTAATTGGATCCAATTGGGTCCAAACGGGTTCAATTGGGTTCAAACGGGTTCAATTGGGCTATTTAGATTCAATTGGGTGCAATTGGATGTGTTTGGACTGTTTTGGGTTAATTGATGTACTATTCAGGTTGCTATGAACCACCCAACGGGGTTGTTCCGGCGACGATGGGGACTGCTCCGGCGGTGGCAGCGGGCCCGAGGATTGATTCCTTGGTCTCAATTCTGCGCAGGTAAGTTGGGTTAATTGTAATTTGGGTTGTTTGAGTATGCATGACAGTAATCGTGCGTCTTCGGCCTGGAAACGCGGGTACATGATTTGTTGTGGAATATGAATAATGTATGAGAAATAGGCCACCTAGTATAATTAGGCGGACCTGAATTGGATTGAGTGATTGAATCACCAATAGGATATGGTTAGGAAATTGGCCTTTGCGGGGTGTCGTCGCACCCCTGGTGGTCTTGGGTTAAAAACGTACGTACAGAAGTCCGCGACCTGTCCTGGCATCGTAGGGACAGGGGCTTCAACCCGCCCAAAGTGAATCTCCTTTGGGTTTTTGAGCTGGCCCTTTTATAGCATCGTTTGAGGTGTGATAAGTCCAATTTTTGGTCTTATTTTATATCTTATATTTCATTGTTCTTGTGCGTAAACTTAAATAAATCAAGAAATTCAAATAAATTTTCATGATAAAAAGTCATTTTACAAATATGTTAATAAAAAGATTGTTCAAAATTAAATTTAGTTTTTCCAAGCATATCATCGCCAAATTTGAAGAAAAATATTTCAAATTGATGATCACCAGTGAAGAAGAGACCAAACCAGGATTTGGAGCAAAAAGAACGGATCAAAATATCAAAATTGCCAAAATTGGGCCGAAGTCCAATCTAAGCCTCTGAGAGGCGTGCGCCCCAGCCCAGGCGCACGCCTGTGGCTGTGACGATTCGAAGCGGCGCAAAATCAAATTTTCGGCGTAGAATCCAATCAAATAGAAGCCCAGGCGCCTGAGAGGCGTGCGCTCCAGCATCAGGCGCGCGCCTGGGCTTCCAGAATGCCTATATAAATAGCGCTTCTCCCTGCCATTTCATCCATCTTCCTCCACAATTCTTTTCTTCCCTTCTCTTTAGTAGCGAGAATTCTAAAAAATAGTATAAGTTTTTATCATTTTGGGAGTTTCAAGTCCAGATATGTTCAATTCCGCTTTTTCAGGAAGTTGTAAGTTTTCTGTAATAAACATGTTATGTTATTTAATTTGTGAACGTTCAGTTGTTTTCATGTCTGCTTAAATATTTTAGGAATGTGAATTGAAGTAGGGTAGTAGGTATGTAAGAAAAATAATTAAGTTGGAATATTAAATTTAATTAATTAAAATGCTAAGTTGCTAGTAATTGTAGTAATGTTAGAATTAATTTATTTGGCCAATTCATTAATTAATATTTGAAAAAACTATTATATCCATTTCTCTATGAATGGGAGAAATAATTTAGTCAACCAATACTAGGACATTAAATTGAACTCTTTTAGAGGGAAATTTACTACCACTAAAACTCTTTCGTCAAGGTGCCATGACTCAAAGCTAGTTGATATGAAATAAAATAATGACAGGATGTTCAAATGGAAGATGCTAATATAAATATGTTTATTTAAGCTGTTTTTCTCTGTGACCACATGCTGTTGTTTAATTGTATGTTAACACGGTGGTGCTATTCTGTGAATTAATGCTGGCTTAGGTATATTTTCACTCAGCGTTTCGCTGAGCGTGTAGTCGTTGTTGTTTGATTGCACGCAGGTAGACACATAGGCTTGGATGGGCAACCCGGAGGGCGATGAAGTGGTGATGTGGCATGGATGGCTCTCATTTACTTTGAAATAATTGATATATATATATATATATATATATATATATATATATATATATATATATATATATATATATATATATATATATATATATATATAGGTTTTGGTTCTGGTGAGAATGAGATCTTATGAAAGAAATAAAAATGCCTCTCCACCGTTAAATCTGATCGCACATGCACTTACTTGCGCCAAGTCTTGAAGGGCTTTTTGGGGTTTACACGTCTCACACCCACCGATTTTATTTTCTCTCCTTTATGTTTCCGGGATTTTCTCGCTGTCTATAGATCCATCTTGCTCCTCTCTCACTTTAACGCATCAATTTCTCTGCTTCCAATCTCAAACCTCCGCCTCTCCTATTACATCAATGTTAACTTCACTCTATCACTTTAAATCTATATACAAATCGAGCCGACATTGTAACGCCCCAAAATATACCCTAGAATTATTAATGAATAAATAATCAATTAATCAAATTTGTTTTGATTAAAATAAATTATTGTTGGGCTTTGGGTCGATACGAAATTTGTTTTGACATCTAATATCAAAATCTGGATAAGTCTCATAGAGATAAATCCAATATGTGTGTTGTCTTGATTGGGAACCTGAGTACAGACCCAAAACAAGAGTAAATAAAGAATTTGTTTAGAATGTAAATATTGAAATGATTTGTTGAAATAAATCATGAGAATAATTGATATGAATTAAATGAGAGAACTTTTTATGAGAAAGGTCAATTAAACCAATTTTTACTTTGTTAAAGTCAAACACCCAAAAATGTGGTGTCGGAAAAAGTATAACGAATGAATAAAAAAATTATATCGTTGGATAGAGTTCGACTTTCTGATCGCAACGGTGCAAACGGATTTCAATTCGGAGAAAGTTGAACCAAAAAGTGTTCCCCGACTGGAACCAAAAATTGGTCCCAATCAGGGACACTGTGCGAACGGCGCCTCCTCCTCCACTCAGCCGATTCCTACGTAGAAGCTGCTCAGCAATGTCCTCTTCCCCTTCATCAACTCCTATATAAGGAGTATTTAAAACCTTCAAACATGCATCATTTTTTCTCAAAATTAGCCCATATAAATCCTGAGAGTGAGGAGAATGGTCTGGTGTTGTTGATTGTTGTTGAAGTCGCCGGAGCTAGCCACAAACCTCGCCGGAAGTTTTGCCGGAAAATTTCCAAAACCGTCAATAAGCTTCGAGGTAAGCCCGTAGATATATCTAATGACTAGAATGTTTGTATAGATCGTTTCTACGTTCATAAATGGTCGTTTGGTTGAGTTTTGTGTTTGACATGCTTGAAGAACCAAGAATCATAAACCATTAAATTGATGTTAAAACTATGAATTAATGATGCCAAAATGATCTTTGAAACTTGGAGAACATTTCTATATAGTTTAATCGAAGTTTGGAACCTAAAAATGGAATTCCCGAAATTGAAGTCGCGAGGTAGAAGACGATGAACAGTGGCTGAAAAGCCACTGGATCGATCCAGGGGCTTGGATCGATCCCCTGCGAGTAAATTTTCATGGTATGGATCGATCCAGAGGGCTGGATCGATCCCCCGAAGTTCTGATCCGAAAATTTGTCTGAAATTGCTATTTTTGAGCTCTAAAATCCTATTTTTGATACCAATGGATTATGACCATTATAAAAATGATTTACCATATTAAAAATGATGTTTTTAACAACTAAAAAATGTTATGTGTTGCATGACGGTAAGTTCGGGTGTTAACACTCGAAGCTATGCCGCTATTTATTATCAATTGTTGTGTTAATTGATGATTATGATAAATGAATATTATGGATGATTATGAGTATTGAACCTACTGATTAAAATAAGTATTTATGATTGAATCATGAATAAAATGAATACAGTTATAATTATGAAATGATTTGTAGTGTTAAGGGTATCTAGAAGAACTCTAAGGTATACACATTTAGAAAATTGATGTTAAGGCTATCTAGAAGACCTCTAGAATAGATCTCATATTAGTGTGGATTTGCGAAACATGAATATTCGATGAATTAGATAAAAATGTATAAACGGGATTCGTAAACTAAGCTAGAGGATCACTCGTTTGGAAATACTTTGACTCAATGATGATTAATTATTGTCTTATTGTTGCCTTAAACTAATTATAGTTTAAGCGTCTGAGTATTGTTTGCCTTAAACTAATTAAAGTTTAAGCATCGGAGAACTGTTGCCTTAAATTAATTATAGTTTAAGCGTCTGAGAAATGTTTGCCTTAAACTAATTATAGTTTGAGCGTCTGAGAATTAAATTATGATCTAGCCTTAGAGTAAGAATAGTTAAGAGCGTTGTTATGATCTAGCCTTAGACTAAGAATAGCTAAGAGCGTTGTTATTGAAAGGTAACCATGCAAGGATAGGCAGCGGAATATAAAAATTTTAACATCCTAACATGATTATCTTGCCCAGAATCACATACTAAAACTTATAGTAGTAAGAAATTTGTACCTTTCTTCGTAAGCGGTAAAAACGAAGAAGTCGTAGGAAGAGCGTTGAAAGTGCAAACGTAACCGTTCAAGCGTCCGGTCTCCAACTTTGACACACGAACAACGCCGGAGTCTACCACAATCTTTATGCTAGAAGATTATAGTAGTATAAAATATAAAGATTAAAATTGGGATAATAATAATCTTGTATATTTCTATAGAAATTATTTCTAATAATATTTAGAAAATATTATAGATATTTTCTATACACAAAATGATATTAATGGAACCAAACTAATATATTTCTCTCTCTTAAAATGGTATGGCCGAATAATCACACACACTAATTTGATAATTTACACTCTCCCTTTATAATTGTCAAGTTTTCAACAAATGATTTGTCAATTTTGTCATTAAGCTAAAAGATAAAGTAATGAACAATTAATCAAGGATTATGGACAAAGTGAGATCCCAATTAGCCGTATGTTTTGATTTGAGAAAGTGAGAAGGATTTTCAAAATTCTTCTCCACTTAAATGTTCAAAGTGTATTTTATTTGACACCAAAATTAATATAAAATTAATTTTAAATCAAATAAAAATACCAATATCATTTTTAAACAAGTATAAAACATATTTTAAATAGTTTATGTCAAAATAATTATTTTCATAATTAAAATGACAAACCAAAATAAAATATTCAATATACAATATATATATATTAATC